GATAACATATGTTTTTCTCAGTATGTGCATCTATGGATTACATATGTTTCTTTCAGTTAACCATGGGATAACTTAGGATATCTATGTCTAAAAATATAATATCCCACGACGCTTTGCGGGCAGCTTTTGCCATGTGTTTTTAATTTTGCATGAAACTTTTTATATGCCTGTCTTTTCTCTCGCCGTCCCATGGATTTATGGCACTTTTATTGCTGGAAAAGGTCTCTACCACACATCATGTCTTGGATAGGTATGTTCTACAAACCTTTACTTTACTGTTAAGTCAATTTTATGTTGTAAATTGTGTATTACTAAAGCGTACAAAAGTCGCATTTGATCAGATCAACTATCAAGTCCTCTTGACAAACATAATTGAAGTTTCACGTGAGAATAGACAATGTTTTTTTATCAACGTCGCAGGGGCGGATCTAGGATTTTTCGCACGTTAGTCAAAATTTTATGACGTCATCGATGATGCAAAATGTGATGACGTCATTTGACATGACGTCATTTGATGTCAGGATGATAGTCCAATTTTTGTGCAAGTATAGATATTTTGTTTTATCAAACTACAAATGCGTAAATGACATAATTTTCGTACCTGCCAATGTTCAGCATATGATATTTAACAAATATAAAACGTTTTCCGTGTTGATATACAGTTATATCAACACGAGTGGAATTGGGAAAACGAGAAATTGTATGGAGATACGACGCCCGAAGGGCGGAGTGTTTTCATACAATTTCGAGTTTTCCAACTTCCACGAGTGTTGATATAACTATATATCAATACGGAAAAAATGTTTTATATTTTTTTTATAATATAGTCATGTAAAAGCCCGAAGGATAAGAAAAATTTCCGTGTTTACAAGCGGCGGGAAATTTCCCGTGTTGACATTGAGTTATATCAACACGGCTCTTAGCCAATCAGCGTTCAGAATTTACAAATGCTATATTATAAATTAATTTATAATATAGCATTTGTAAATTCTGAACGCTGATTGGCTAAGAGCCGTGTTGATATAACTCAATGTCAACACGGAAACGTCGGAAAAGTTCTTTCTTTATGTTTCTTTGTGCTATATTATAAAACAAATATAAAACTTTTTTCCGTATTGACATATAGTTATATCAACACTCGTGGAAATTGGGAAAACTCAAAATTGTGTGAAAACACTCCGCCCTTCGGGCGTCGTGTTTCCACACAATTTCTCGTTTTCCCAATTTCCACTCGTGTTGATATAACTGTATATCAACACGGAAAATGTTTTATATTTGTTAAATATAGACTGTTTCTCCCTACAGTGTATACCTTGGCTCATCAGCATGCCTAGGAAACACGTTTACCAAAAATAGTAAACCGTGATCCAACAAGGACAGCTCCTAATTGAAAAAGCTGAACACAAGCACAGGTTTCTGGCTCCTTAAAACCAGATTGCTTGCCTTCACAGCTTTTGCAAAAGCAAAGGGAGTTTGGCTAGAACTTAGAAATGGGTGACAATAAAATGAACAATGAACACCACCTAAAATGAGCAATCTGGTTTTAAGGTGCCATAAACCCACCTCACACCGCAGCAAAAGGAGCTTGGTTAAAAATGGGTGACAATACTGGACATTTCATGGATGTGAAATTGCCTTGTTTTTCCCTTTAGCCCCTTCCCCAGTCCTCCTACTACTAACCTATGTCTAATCTAATTAAATTCATCATCTTGTTATATACTGTCCACTATGAAAATGTATAATATCGCAAGTGAAATGGTGTCTCAAAGCTGCAGCTTCAGTGGAAGCCAACTTTTATTGAAAACAAGTTTATTTTACCTGGCATTTTAAACATATTTTAATCACAGTCGATTCAAACACAAAATATTTCATTACAAATGACTATTACTTTACTTATCTAGTTATCTGAAATATTAAATTGGCAAGGTTTTTAACACAGTATTCTATTATATTCCTATACTATGCTTACATACTGTATATAGACAGTCACATACTATCAACATGGAGTTTGTCTGTCAGGGCCTGAAATAATGTTCCCAAAGTTCCCGATCATGGTGGTCGGCAGTCATGACTTTCCCTGCTTTTTCAGGTTGGAAACCCTACTTTTCCACCGATCATAAGCAATTTCTTGCCTATTATTGATTGGTGATCAGTTGTTAGTTCAAGCCCTGGTCTGTTGAAAATTTAACTGGTTCAAGATGCAATGGACCTGTCTCAAGCCAATGAGATCAGACCCGATATTTGGCATCAGCTTTTGTCTACAAAGCCCGAATGTTTGGGGGGGGGGGGGAAATTATGGGAAGGTGGTGATCTTGAAAGGCTAAGTTTGGTTGATAATGAAGAATCAAACCCCAGGAAGTTTTTTCTCATATATGTCAGTGTTGTGTACAAGAGTGAGGTTATTGCTATTGGAGGCGAGAGGGGTATTTTTGCAAGCCGAGATATTTAACTTTAACCACATGTTCCAGAAAATTTATCAATAACGTTTCCTACAGTACATATGTTAGGAATAATTTCCTGGTGAATTTGCATCATGACCAAGCCAAGTCATTTAATTTAAGTAGTATATATTCAACCATAGTGCTTCGCCTGGCTTCGCTTATAGCCTTTTAGTGTCCTATAAGTGCCGAAATAGACCTTTCACACTTGCACTGTAAACATTTAAACTATCAAGGTCAAATTAAGTCATTGGTACCTGTCAATGCTTAGGAAACAGAGCTATACAAGCAATTGCCAGTTGCATCAGATCTAAAAATATAACCAAAGATTATATTATTATTATCTTTATAAAGTACATTTGCAGAGCTATTATCAGTCAATCAATACTCTATAAAGCATGTACACAATAAATACTTTTTATCCAACATGATCAAATATTTGAGATCAAATTTCTGCCACTACTCAGCCACTTGAGGTGTTTTAATTTTATACACATAATGAATATGTATGCAGTATGTAAAACTTTGGACCTAACCTCGCACAATTATGCAAATCGTACGTTCAATTCAACGATTTATTGTTCAAAATTCAAACCACTTTACCTTATTGCCATAATGCCATACACCTCTTTATAATCTCCTGAAATAGACGACGAGAATTCGAGAAATCAACACATCTCAGCTAGATAGTTTCGGCCAAGACAATTTTCTTGCATCCATCGAATTTATCTGCTTGAAATATTCTCCACAGAACACCAGTAAGCATTCCTTATCGTCACTTTCAAATAACGATCTAACCTTTTCGAAATCTACGTCGTTCATTTCGATAATAGTAAATAAATACAAACAAAATATTAAATTTGCTTGTAAATTGAACAGAACTGCAACAAAGCTACCAAGTGCACAATGCTTCCAAATTGAAGATTAGAAGGCCAATCAGAGGAGATGTTCTTTAACTCTTTTGCGCAAATTGTCCAATCAGAAGCTGCTATCTATTTGCAGAATTAGTCAAAATAGTCAAAATTTCGCAATCGTTAGTCAAAATAGGTCTGACCAATCAACATGCCTGTAATGTGTAATCTGAGCAAATTTGACCAATCAAATCACATGAACTAAAACGCAGAATAGTCAATTTTCATTTGAATACCGCTTATTTGACTTATCGTTTGACTAATCAATCGCTGGCTCAATGTGCAAAAACTGATCGAAGTTTATATGCTGGAGTGTGATAGAGTTTTGATTGCGTGACCAGAAATGAAGAGAAGTGTTTGCGCTGGGAAAAAATTCAAAAACCTTAGTCCAAATTTTTTTATGTGCCTTTTTTTTACGTTAGTCGCGTGACTAATCTGACTACCCCTAGATCCGCCCCTGCCAGTGTTCGCTCTACATGATAATTTCACAGATTGTCCTGGCGGTGTTATGACGTCTTTCTTACGGGTTTTAACGGGACATAATTCATCATGCCAGTTAACAGTGTCTATCAATTTAACCAGGGCGGAAGCACGAGCGACTTGCATGCCAACAAAGTTAGATGAAATAACACCACAATTCAATTTATTTGTTTTTATTAAATGTTCAATTACGTTAAAGCCTACCAAAAGCAGTTCTAAGTTCTCATTCGTTACTAGAAATGGGACAGGAATTGCGTATTCAGATTCCCCCAACTTGAAAATTTAACTCCACCAATCCTGTATAAGGGATAGTGTTACCATTGCCGTCAGTGTAAGGTCACAATTTAACAGTTCACTCACGTCTTTAATAGTACTGTTTGGAAAATTATCTTTTACAAATTTGGCTGAAACAATAGATTCCTGGGCTCCTGTGTCCCATAAAAGTTCTACTGTTTCCCCATTAATTTTCCCCGTAACCGTACATCTTTGACCAACGAGACTAAACAACTTCTCTTTTTCCTTTGGAGTGAGGTGGCTGATGAAAGCCTCAGAGTGGTTATTTTGTTACACTTGAGTCGTACGCTTAACTTCCCTTTTAATGGCATTACACAATGTTTTATGATGAGGCCAATTAGCTCTCTGGCATGTCTGGTTACAATAGCTTACCAACCAACATTTGCATCGCCAAAAGTTTTTATTCAAGTTCTTTAAACAATAATTACACTGAAAGAATGTTGATTTTCCGGCTAGACCCTGTCCCGCTGGCGGGGTTGCCGGTACTCGTTTCCCTGAGCTTTTAAATTTTTCGCGCAGTCTGACGTAATATGGCCAAACTCGCCACAGGCAAAACAATGTTGACACGTGCCGCCAATTTTCCGTTCTTTACACGCTAGACACCCTCTACCACGGTATCGTGTTTCCCTCGGAAATTTACGACCGCGTGACGATAGTTTCCGCTTAGCATTAGATTGTTGCCTCGTTTTTCAAACTCTCAAGGTGAGATTTGATCTCTCGAATCTCGGCCAAAATTGTATCATTATCTTCGCCATTTTTACGCATTTTAATTTCCGCATCGTTCACTTCGCACGCATTAACCTTGGC